TTATCTATTTTTTAGGTAGCAAATTTTAGTTAATAGTATTTACATACTTTATTAAGTTATTTTATTATTATGGGCAAATACCTTCAATTATTTTATTATTTTGGCCATATTATTCTGTTAAGCATTGAACTTATGAATATAATTATATATAAGGTTTTCAAGGTTCATTGTATTCCTTCAGCTATCTTATTATATTGAGCACAGTATTCTGTTCAGTACTGAACTTGTGAACATGCACATGTTTTAGATTTTTAAGGTTCATTATATTCCCTCAGTTATTGTGTTATGTTGTTCATATTATTCTGTTCAGTATTGTTATGTTATTATTTTGACCACATTATTATGTTTAGTATTGAACTTTGACACATGTATGTCTGAAGTTCATGGGGTTTGTCAGAGTTCTGCAAATATATTATAGATTCTATACATTATTAAATGCAATCTTAATCTTGGTAATAAGAGTGTATTTCAGATTCTCAGTTTTCACCATATTCCTGAAATTAATGCGGAATGGAAACCTTAGTATTATTGCTTGCTATATATGATTTATAATATATTAATGTAACCCAAAATCTATGTTCTGTGCAGCTTTCATGTGTAAGTTGTGAGCAAAGTTATGAAGTTGCTTACAAGTATCTCTGATGGAAACAGAATTTACTTTCAGTTTTACCCACCTTCAGCTAACCTAATCACAAGTATTCTTTGTATGTTACAGTTCACAATGTCCATAGCATTTTAGTAAGGGGGTGTTGGATTGATGTAAATTAAATGTTCAAACTTTAGAGACACTGGTGAGAAGCTTTCTCCTGATGAATATGAGTGAAGTGATATTAAACTGAGTCAAAAAAGTAAAAGAACCTCTGCAGAAGAAGAGAAGGGTTTGAAAAATTATTTATGCTCTTGCCCTGAACCTGTAACTAGTGGGGACATTACACAAGTGCTGGTGGTGTGATAGCTAACTTTCTTACCAACCAAGCTCTCGGCACTGGCCGCAGCCGATTAGTATCAATAGATTTAAAGTCCAATATAGAGGCAGCAGTGATGCCCGCCAATAACCTTGAGCTTCCACGTGCTGCCCTAGACCAGTCCTACAGTGACCGGGTTTCGTCTGATATGTGGAGTTTTGAGTGTACGTTCCAAAATATTCTCTCTTTATGTGTTATAACAACTGGAATTACAATGAAGTTGCATGTTCTGTAAAATTAACTATATGTATAGTACTAATACGTTATCCGTAAACGTATTCGTGAAGACTGTGGAGATTATGTGAGTTAAATTTGTTTGTTGGTTAGAATGACAGAGTAGATTAAGGTGGTAATTTTCAAGTTCGAAGTACTTCCCATGATTTCACTTTCTGTGACGTGCATGAAAATGATACAAAATTATTTTGAAGAAACTAATTAACAATTTTGTTTCATCCAAATTTTAACAGTTTTGTTGCATTTCGGATAATTTTCTTGTCATGGAGACCGACCTCTTGTCATTAAACTCTCATGTCGACTTCTGTCGTGATTATTCCTCAAGAGATAACTGTTGCTGGTTTATATGGTGTAATTAAATATTTTAAAACTGAATTTTGTTATTATTCTTGTAAACAAACCAACATAGGCTCAAAATTTTGGAAGTACAATAACAATTCAAAATTTCATTCATGTGACAAATTAAGAGGAGATTGAATTCAGGTAATGCATGCTACCATTCAGTCCAGACCCTTTGTCTTCTTGTCTGCCGTCTGAAAATAGTAAAAATTAGCATGTACAAAATTATAATTTTGCTTGTGGTTCTGTATGGGTGTGAAACTTGGTCTCTGACATTAAGGGAGGAACTTAGAGTGAGGGTGTTTGAGAACAGGGTGTTGAGGGGAATGTTTGAACAGAAGAGAGATGAAGTGACAGGAGGTTGGAGAAAACTGCATATTGAGGAACTTCATAACTTGTACTTTTCACTAATTAGAATGATAAGCCACTAAGGACGAGAGGGGCTGGACATGTAGCACGAATTTGGAGGGATATTTGTGGGAAAGCCAGAGAGAAAGAGAGTGTTAGGAAGACCAAGAAGTAGGTGGGTGGATAATGTTAAAATGGATATTAGAGAGGTAGGATGGGGTAGCATGGACTGCATTGATCTTGCTGAGGATAGGCATCAGTGGAGGGCTCTTGTGAACACGGTAATGAGCCTTCGGGTTCCTTAAAATATTGGGAAGTTCTTGCATAGCTGCACAAGTAGCGGCTTTTCAAGAAGGGCTTAGTTCCATGAAGTTAGTAAACAATCCAACATAGGCATCTCTGCTTCCTATTAGTCCAGAACTTCGGTGGGCTTCATCCAGACTGTACGGCGTTAAAACTCGGAAAATCACATTGTCCAGTGATAAAGCCATATTGCATTTGAGGCTGTCAGAACAGAGAACATGAGGAATAGGGTAGACTTGAAAGAATTCTGACGATGGTGTATACTGTACTTCTTTTGGCTTGTTTTGGACATCATCCTTCGTCTGGTATGTAAAAGACACTGGTTCAGTGATTGAGACTAGCTCTTTCTAACAGGCCCAACTGAATAGGTTTATCCTTCCCCACCCAACTGAAGTTGGGTTTTGTCTTTTACATACCAGACGATGGATGAAGTCCAAAAACAAGCCAAAAGAAGTATGAGGAATAGGACCTTCCGGATGGCAATGCCGTGTAGTCCAGTGCCGCCTTCTTCTTGCTTGACTTACTCTCCCACCTTGAAAATGGTGGCAATACCTTCCTCCGAAACATCAGTGGACTTTACATAGTTACACGTAGTTACAACCAAAGAAATCGCACTCTACAATGATTTAACCGCTTGTTATTTGCATTTTATTGCACAACCGTCATCATGATGCTGTGCATCGGACAAGTATGACCCTACATTTTCAAGAAGGAAAAGTTTTTAAGCTACATAAAATTCTGTGAACTTTTGATTTGGTTCATCCTGGTCCGTCACACTAGCAATGTTATTATAACATGTTATATTACGTTCATCGTTAGTCAACTCCGTCCAGTGTGACTGATAAAATTTTTTTTTCTTTATTTCCTTTTTTAATCTTTCATCCTTGACATGTTTCGGTCTGAGAGACCATCTTCAGAAGGACATATCAATACGGGCAGGAACTACTATTACAATGTGATTGGTCAATATCAATACATGCATACAATATCATCACAATGCCATGAATATAAAATCTGAGCTTATAACAACTACAGCGACGTTACAATATATTAAAATATTTATAAATTGTTATAATTAGTCTGTTTACATGTGTGGTTTAAAAAACTTTGTTAAAATTTTTAGAAGTAATTAGGTTCGTGTCCTTCATATTGCCTCTCTATAAAGGAAGTTGAGGGTCTACCGCCTCGTGGTTCCGTTGTTTGGCGAATAGGACTCTTCAGTGTCGTCCTGTTGTTCGGGCCGCGCTGTGTTGTAAACTTGTGACATTCAGTTATTTGTGTTTTACTAAAGAAACTCCATCGTAGCTTAGATGTCTAGCGTCAAGTGATAGGACTATTAATGTGTGATATGATACTTAATTAATAATGAATTAAAAAAAACAGTCGCGGCCTAAATTTCCCGGAAGGACTGAAGAAAACCACAAAAAATATCAGTCTTGATACCCTGTCCGAGATTCGTAAGCGATGTTTTGGGGCGATATTTATTCTGTAATAAAATAATTCAGCTAAAACTTGACGTGAATGTTTTCATTAAAGTAACAGAGAAATGGTTAGGAGACGTAGCGGCATTTGAATTGGATTAGCAGGAATGAACAGGCAAATTGTGACGATGACATTCAGGAAGCAGGCAGAGCCCCTACTCCTCCTCACCACCCCACATTCGAAACATAATATTTTGTGATGTAATCGATCTGATGTTGTGAGTGATGGAATTCCGTAAATGAACTCAACGTTCATGAATCAAAACGGACAGTTTTCAGCGCTGTCATTACAACTCGCGCTCACTCAGGCTCTTTAAGCAAGAACTGCACGGAATATAAAGCTAATGTTTTCGAAACAGAATCAGTTTGATATGAATGATGGAATTTTGAAAGGTAACTTAACGTTAGTGGACATTTGAAGTGAAAAATGAGATTCAGTGTTGTCGGAATCCAAAATTTGAGCGTTGCCTCTACACCACCTTACTTACTTACTTATGGACCAGGGTCGCGCCATAGCTCAAGCGGTTAGTCGCTGGCTTCCCACCGCGGCGGCCCGGGTTCGAACCTGGGTCTGGTCAAGTGGGATTTGTGGTGGACAAAGTGGCGCTGGGGCAGGTTTTCTTCGAGTACTTCGGTTTACCCTGCCAATCTGCTTTCCACCAATTGCTCCACAATCACCTTCACCTATCATCTGGGGCTGGTACAATAGGCCAGAAGTGGCCTCAGTACAAGGGACTTAGTCCCACCCCACTAGCATTAAAAAAATTACTTATGGACTTGAGCCCTTCTTGAGGAGAAGCCAAATCTGCAGCTACTCAAGAATTACCCAGCATTTTATGGAAATCGAAGGTTCATTACCGTGTTCTCAAGAGCCCTCCGCTAGTCTCTATCCTGAGCCAGATCAGTCCAATCCATTCCATCCCATCTTATCTCTCTGAGATCCATTTTAATATTGTCCACCCACCTACGCCTTGGTCTTCCCAGTGGTCTCTTTCCTTCTGGCTTTCCCACTAATATCCTATATGCATTCCTTTTCTCCCTCATTCGTGCTACATGCCCTGCCCACCTCATCCTCCTTGACTTGATCATTCTAATTATACTTGGAGAAGAGTACAAGTTATGAAGCTCCTCATTATGCAGTTTTCTCCAACCTCCTGTCACTTCATCCCTCTTCGGTCCAAATATTCTCCTCAATACCCTGTTCTCAAACACCCTCAGTCTATGTTCCTCCCTTAATGTCAGAGATAAAGTTTCATACCCATACAGAACCACCGGCAACACCACCACAATGGTTATTTTATTTTGAAGTTTGTTATTAAATGATGCTATCAGTAATGACACTGTATAATTATACAGTTCCCGTCATACTGCACAAACAGTTCTTGTGTTGGCGTGAATTTCGTCACCTTCTCTGGAAGTTGTATGGCTTGTGATACCGTCGGTTTTCGGGTGAGTGATCGGTTTGTGCAAGCTCGATTTACCGGTACTATCATGACATGCTATAGATCCTGTATATGTTGATTATGAATTATATAAGTCTTCATACATGCCAGCTCGTAGTGAACGGTTTTGTTATATACTTCTTTGCTTCATTAATATATGGGAAGTTTTGTGAAATTAACTCTCCGTGCTTGAACTCGCAGTGAATTCTAAGTGATATAACAGTGCTCTGATAGTGTGTGCCAGTGTGTGTAATGTCTTGCAAGTGAGGAACTTAACAGACGACCCCAAGTGGACCAGATAACGTTGCAGCAAAAAGACCGGCTTAGAAGACTTCGATTATGGAATCACGGCAGCAGGAAGACGGCGCTAACTGTGAGTAAAAATATATTTTATATATACGACTTTAGTTAAGTAAATCAAATACCTTACTTCCATCATATGGCCTTATGTGAGTCATCTCCACATTAATATATTAATAACGTAGCAGGTTTTATATACCAAGAAATTCGATTTCATGTGGTGACCACTAGGAAAGGGGTTCACTTCAGAGTCAAATTGATCACCCTATGCTTGTGGGTTAAATGGTATTTCCCTCTGTGCCTTCTGCGATAGTTTTATTTTGTTGTGAAAGTGGCATGTTATGTGTAATATACATATATATTTGGTTTTGTGTTTAGATCTTTCTTGGTGGGTTGCATAGGCGTTAAATGGCAAAATGGAAACACATGTCTGATATATTAGTTTTGAGTTTTGCTGTTTTATATGCCCACAACTTGTATATACATGTATTTAATACCACCAAATGAGCGATTAAGAGGTAGAAAACGATTTAAAACTTTTCAGAATATCTTTCAGCTATCACAAATTGTCACAATTAGAAAACGATAAGAAATACATTTTTAAAATCAACTGCACTAAAATGAATCGCGAAATTTCATGGAGTAGACATATGATAAAATTAATTTAGCAATTTTACATTAACATCTACATTAATATGTTACAATTCTTCGTTACAACATTTCTGTCGTGCAGAAGTTTTTGGATGATTCAGGGCAGTTATTGTTTTATATGAAACTTACAGATCTCTGTAGTGTGACCATTGCCATTAGGCTATTTTTCGTGGCTTAAAATTATGATGTCTTTGTTACTTTCCTGTGTTTATCGATTTCCGACTATTTCGTCCCCAACTATCTGAAACCTAACAAGAATTACTGAAGCCATACTTATTTCGTAAGTCGACGTGTATTTCAGTGGAACATTAAGATAGACTCGTGCGTTGGATAGCGATATGACTAGGAGAAGTTGAACAGATAAAGTGGATTAAATCTTTGAGACAACAAGCTCATCCAAATAGCCTTTAAAGCTTTCGCCCCTTAGCTCAGAGAATAAACACCGCGTCCTCTTCAGAAAAATTAACTTGTCATTGCAGGATTGGAGGTTCTCACAGAAGTAGCTATGAACACTTCTGCTTAATGCTGCTTAGAGAAATAATTTCTATATTTATATATTTTGATTTAAATGATTAGCGTGACTACAATGATACATCATTAATAATGATACTTCGGAAGTGAGATTGAAATGTTGTAATGATTTTTAAAGCTTAAGGGTGAGTTTTGCAGCGCATCACTGCCTGCTGTTTTATTTACGTTAAATTTGGTTGAAATATGGAACAGATAAGCCTAGGGCCTGTTTATCTGCATGTACTATTTTCATTCACGCTCCTAATCTTACGCACTTTATATACGTAGGTAACTTAAGTAGCCTGTACTCTTTTTGTTACTCGTGGTGGTTGTTCAATGAATCTAGGTTCCTAGTCTCACTCATGCCATCTTTTGAACTTTACAACACACCCTTGTGGGAGACGCCATGTCAAGAATATTGTATTCATGGAATAAACGGCTCACCAAAATTTATAATTTCTCATATATAAAATTGTAGTAAATTGTATCTACTGCAACACACAGTGAAGTTATTTTACAATAAAAAGGGTGATAATTACGCAGTAATATAGTGTAAGCGCTAGTTTTGCGACGGATTAATCGCCAAAATTTCTCAAAGCACCCTCCAATGATATAGAAAACAGCCTGAAGATTTTCTTATATAAAATTTCCGTGGGGACAATTTACTATCATCTGAGATCTTCGTGAGAAGGAGTGTTACTGAATTCAGTATATTGAAGTATGTGTTATGTATTTAAGTTCAGTTTTATGTAATGATAAGTGAAGTATACAAGGAGGAAGATCGAATGCGTCCAGAAACATGCTGCAGTCAAATGTTTCTCAGTCGGAGGGCCGCGAAATTTTAATCCAGATGTGTTTCTACATATTTAACAAAACTTGAAGTGTTGTAACAGTAATGGTATCTAGTTCAGTCATCTCACTGATCCGTTCAATTTTTGTTACGTGATGGGTAGCTCGACATTTTGCCTACATCTATGCCATATATAAGTATTGGAGGTAGCGTATTCATGTAGCTGATGTTTGTGAATAACCTACATCTATGAAGAAAGCAGTCTTCTGGGATTTGGCACCGTGTATATGTGTATAATCCCATAAGACTGCTTTCTTCATAGTCACCGCCGTGAAAGCCTCAAATCTTACAACCTACATCTGTCTCATCAGTATTTTATTACTACAATGAACGTCATATAATAAGCAATGATATTGTGTCATATTTGTACCTATATCAATGAGAAGACATGTTAGACTTGTGTGCATAATTATTGTTCGAATATATTTAATGCGGGTTTAATTTCGTAAATTGAACCCAAAACCGATAAGATTAGTTATAACGCTGTAGACTTCTGTGAGGGAGGGGGGTTCTAGGTTCGAATCTCGGTCGGAACACCTACTCTCCTTACTGAGGTTTTAATGGTTCTTCTGAGTTCCTTTCTGCAAATAGCGGGGTAGCATCTCGAACAGACGAAGATTTCTGCCTTCCGTATTCTCTCGAATTCATTGTCCATCAATCCTGCCGCTGCACTTTGTACACTCTATATGCTGTTTGATGATAGCCCCGAAAAGTAACTTAAAACGGAGATAGGATATACTGCCACTTGTAGGGGGTTACGCGTGACGAAAATACTGGGTTCTAGTTCGAATGATTGGATTTATTGACACTTAGTTTACAAGTTTTCTTAATTACAATTAATACAGTGCTATCGCTGATTTACACAGTTTACAGTTGCACACGCACTAGGATTCTCCGCCTTCACTAGTCGCCTCCTGGCAACGTAACACAACACGGAAACTAGCACTTCAGATCACTATGAAGTTTTCTTGACATTTCTTGTTCAATCACCCTGGAATCTCGGAACTCAAGTAAAACTAAAAATTCTCTTTAGCTGCAAGAGGACTTGCGTTATATAGACACGGCACGGACAACACAGAAAACAGTTCCACTGCAGACCACAAAGAAGACACAAGTCACTTGGTAGCTAAGCACTGTTGGGGTGTGACGTCATTGCGAATGCTTAAACTACACGGACACAAAGAAAACACCGCTGCTGCGTTGTGTGACGTCACCGCATATGTGGGTTGCATAACCCCGTTATTCTATTGTTGCGTGCGTGTATTACTTAGCAACGGCTGTTTCTGTGGCTCAACCGTTCTTGTCTGGAGCAAATACGCCACAATATTGACAACAAGTTACCGAGTTTTCCTCTGTCCTTTCTTGCGAGGAAGAAGATAATTTCATACTACTTTCTTACTAGCTCACGGTATTCCTACCAGTATGCATTTAATAGGGCAATGTTAATTAGTCTAATCTAGAATGCGGAAACAAGAGTAGCAGGCAGAATTTTTATGGGTTTACTTTTCCATGCCAAGAGACGGAAGTTGAAAGAAGTTAGTGTTTTGAACAGTGTGCCTCTTACAGCGCACTTCATTGCCGACAACAGATTAATCAGCTGAAGATGTGTAAAATAAAATTTCGAGCGAATGCTGGGCCTGGATTCCGATCCTGGGTAGCTATGTGTTATTTACCATCACGAATCATCAGCCATAACATTATCATAATCTGCCACATGGAGGTTCTGCCTTCAAACAATACGCAACTTAAAAATCCAGCGAATTCGGATAAAGACTCGATATTGCCCAACAGAGGCGAAATAATTGCAAAGAAACATCTGTGGGACATGAACGCGTGAAGAGTGGGTGGCCATGCAGAGATGCTCCCCCCTTCCCCACGCCGCACTCGCTCATGTCGAGTGTTTGTACGATCTGATACCGGCGGTCCCCCGACCCATCATTGTGCAGTTACTGGCGCACGCACGCCTCCCCAACCCTCTGTGCGCCCTTTTGAAATTCGCCACCCGTGCTTCCAGCCAACAGATGGTCGGCTGACGAGATTGAAGGTCAATCTGTGACGTCATAACAGGGCGCTGTAACTTGATTCGTAAGCGTGGGCACAACGGGAAGGAGATTACGTCATAATATTTGTTTACTTTGTGCATAGGATGTCTGTTTCCTACCGGTACTAGATACGCGGCGGCGGTAACAGAGGTAAAGTTGTTTCTGTATGAAGACGTATGGAGGAGTGGAGGTAAAGCTCCACTTTTGTTGACCTCGACGGAAATTGCGCAAACCGAATTTCCTGGATTTGCGGTTCACAGAGTGGAGAATATAAAGGGTATTGATTCTCGGATGTGACGCCGTGTAGCATGGTGGAAGTTCACGTTCATTTTGAAGGGACGTATTACTTTCTCTTCTAGGGTCGAAGAGTAAGCCAACCGTGCCACCAGCAAGACATACGCAGTGCGACGGCGCACTCCAGAAGATAGTACTGTACATAGCTAAAAATTTGCATAATTTGGGCTCTTAATTAAATCTTATAAAGGTAAATTTGTCTCTGTGCATAATTATTTAAGCACTATGCCATGAAGACATACGGAGGAGTGATGGTATAATTCCACCGTTCTTGAACTCAGCACTGGATGGAAGTGAGTGGTCAGCTTCACGCCCCTGCCGAGTAAGCCACGGTACCCATTGAATTGGGAGGCTGGGTGGGCCCCAGAGCCGGACTGAACTCTGTGGAGAAGAGAAAAACTTTCCATGCCGGGAATCTTACCCGGGTCGTCCAGCCCGTCGCCATACCGCCTTCCTAACTTAATCTTATTGGGGTGATGTATTAATAAAAAGTGAGATGGACGGGACGTGTAGCATTCTTGCGTATCTAGGAACTTACTTGGGAGATATCTGTTTGAGACCTAGGCCTGGATGTAGAGAAGGGACGGTAGTAAAGACACAACAGCGGTCGGCATTTCCGACGGCCATGGTGAGATTTCGAATTCCGGAATAAAGAAGTTTCTGATCCATTGGATGTCTGTCAGTTGCCCGCATAAAATTATGTACTCTGAGGTTTGGGGGTTATAA